TTCCCATTTGCTCACTTTTCTTTTTGGTCGAAAATGTTACAGACTTGTTTTAAATCACATGTACACAGTATAAATATTATTAAGGAGATAAATAGATCTACTGGAGATGTGAGATTGTTCTAAATATGTCTGAAATCATAGGAATTGGACCAACTACATTTCTCTTCAAAACTAAATATAATATCAAACATAAAGACAACCACCCCCAGAGCTGTCTGAGATGAATGATACTAGTCAATGACAAGTTAGAAATGTTAAGTTAGGAACAATGTCTAGAAAAGCTGCTGTAAAAGAAACATCTAATGTTCAGGGTGATATTATCAAGTATTACTCAACAAATCAGGAATTCAACAAATGTGTCCCAAGGAACAAACGTAGCAAAGCCTCTAGGTGTGACTGTTCCAACATAAATGCCCATAACAGCCTTCCATTTTACTGCTGCTTTTACAGCTTTGTCAAAGGAGTTGACCTTTAAGTAATGTACAGAATATACACAGGCAACATATCAAATTAAACAGATTTCCTGTTTTTACCACATGACATTTAAATACTCTTTTTATTGAACAATTTATAAAACTTTTACAGAATACTAAAAATTTTGGAGACTTAAAAAATGTTAATGTTATAATTAACAGTCAGGGACATAATTAACAGTCAAGGACATGTCTTGTACATTCAAGACAGTGATATTCCAAATCTATTGTTATGAACTTTACAGTAATAGACAACCATCTGCTTTCAAGCTAAAGCAGAAGCATTGCGTTTTTTCCACTTGTAGGAATTTCACAATGAAGCAGATAAAATAGCTTAGCTAATAAAGAAAGAGCGATACATTTCATGTTAAAGTGAAGAAGTTTATTTACACAGAAAGGAAAAAGAGAAAAGGGTAGCACAGAGTATACTATCTACCCTTGATTGTATTCCTTATCTACAAAATAATTCTTTGCTATTGCACGACCCAGCAGTTGCTACTGAGTAATGAAGAGTAATTTTATATGAGAAGCAAGTTTTCTATGCTGCATTTAAATAGAAATATTTTAAAATAAACCTTGTACTAACTTCTAAATTCCAAGTAACTTTGGTAATTATTAGTAAAAATAAATCAAACAAAAAAAGAATGTTGTTGATAACACACCAGTGTTTTCAGGCTTCTACTGAGCAGGGCTGGCACAGCATCAGCACTGTCTCTCAACATTCCTTCCACCCCATCCGGAGGCTGGGGGTGGGCAAGATCCTGGGAGGGGACACAACTAGACCAGCTGACCCAAATTAACCGAAGGGATATTCCATACTATAGGATGTCAGCTCAGATATAAAAGCTAAGGAAAGGAGGAGGAAGCAGGGGATATTTGTTATTTACAATGCTTCCTTTCTGAAGAAACTGCTAAGTGTGCTGAAACCCAGTTTTCTGGGAAGTGGCCAGACATCCCTTGTTGATAGGAAGTAGGGAATAAACCTTTCTTTTTTTTCCTTTATTTATGCACCCATAAACTTTCACTTTTTTTAAAATGAACTAATAGCTGCAGTTTGAACTTTGCAAATGCACTGATTTATATGCATACTTTTCTATTTCCTTAGAAAAATGGAGATAGACTTCCACTCTTCCAAACTGTCAGTTAGAGATATTTCAGGGGTATCTGATTGTTTAGAGTAAGTACACTGTGTATTTAAATAAATTGGCTTGGCCCTAGTATATCCATAGTGACAACTGTGATTTGAACATATTTCTTGTAAGGGCAGAACAACCTGCTGGAGTTTATTAGTCAAGGAACAATTGAATAGAAAAAGGAAAAATGCAGTATTGCATTTATAACACACTATCACGTTAAAACACTTGAGATAATGACATTCACTTGTTTTGACTCTAGAAGATGGTCTTATACACTGTTAGAAACATACAGTTGCTACCAAGAAACTAAGTGGTGTATTTCACCCTAAAAATGAAACAAGCAAATGCACACATTCTAGTGAAGCCAAGATATCCATGTAGGGTTTGTATGTGGTATGCCATGCTGACTATTAATATGCCACTTAAGTGTATGACATATTTTCTTGCTGAAATTTAGTTAATGGTAGGTGCAAGGCAGATCACAAAGATGAATAATGAGAATATACTACTGAAATGTACAGGTATACATTACAGCAAAATTAAAACAGATCATAGCTAACTTTAAGGAGTTGAGAGACAATTTCCTTGACTGGAACACAGTTTCTGGATTGCTTACATGATAGTTTACTTTCTCCATTGCAAGGTCTATGGTAAATAATTATAAAATTACTACAGATGCCCTTATCTCCTCTAAATATGAGCTCTTTCCAAGTTTCTTGAAGAACTTGTCTCTGAATATCAAAGGCTTATAGTGATAGTTCAGTTGGGTAATTTCTGGTTTCATTACAGTAAATTGTCACTCTCATTGAAACCTTAGGATTAAATAAAATCACAGAATGCTGCAGTTACTTTTCAACTACTAAATACAGGATACATTAAGTCGTATCCTGATCTACATAAACATATGATGTGACAGCGCACACTCTGGGATTTAACTGTCCCAGTGAGCTGCCAATGAGCATGTCACAATAGCACTAGCGAAAAGGATGAGGCTGTTCCTTGTGTTGAAGGAATACAGAGGGTAAAAGCAGAGCTTTGTGAAAAGAGAAACTCCTTAATTTGTCCTCTCCACACAAAATGAAAGAGAAATGTTATTCTTCCAGTGCTAGAACTATTACAAGACATCCTATACAGAAATATTAATCGTTAATATCTCAACATCAGGCATGGTTAAAAGCTTCAGGAAGGCAAATGACATGTCTTTCACTTTTAGGAAAACAGAATAGATATCGCATGAAAACTGGACGTTCAACTATTAAAAGGATGGTATAATTATACAGATGAGGTTATATTCTCCACAGGAGCTACTTGTTTCAGGGTTTCTTTAAAGCTTGTATTCTGATTTTATTGAATGGAATGGTTATAGATGTATCTAATGTAAGGTGCTCAAGTCCTAAACATCAGAGATTTGGTTACAACTGCGACTTAGTGTAATAGACCCATGCTTTTAATTTGCTCTTCAGGGACTCGTAATTCTGTCATATTTTCACATATGATTTTTGAAACAAGATCACAGAAAGAAAGATAAGAGACCCCTTCATTTACACAGGTAAGATAAATTTGAAAAATTTACTTGGAAATGTAGTTGGAGGTCAACTCATCCCATTGTATGAACTCAGCAGGGCTGTACTGGTTAGTCTTCAAAAGAGAAAATGGCTTAAAATCCTATTTTTGAATAAACAACTCAAAAGTAGCTATTTCAGTCAACGAACGAGGAGTTACTTCCTCCAAAATCTGTGGCACACGGGAGTAAGTACCCAGCCCAGACAATGATACACAGGTTATGTAAATTTTCATTAAAAATGCCAAACTATAAAAGACTCCTGGAGATTGACAGATCAACTAGAAGGTCAGAAGAAAGCAGCAATCAGACATTGGTGGAAGGAACCGATGGAGTCTGGACAAAGTGTCACCCGACAGAGTGGTTGTGCACACACATTGATATGGCCTATTACCACAGGATGTCTATCAAACTCCTGTTTAAATTTAATATTGCTTACTTCTGGCATAACCCTTGGAAAAAGCAAAAACCTGCTCACATCCAAAATACCACAGATGATGCTGATACAAAGGGTGCCAAGTGCATTCTTTGGAACACAGAAGAGAATTCTGGCACATAAAATGTATGTAAATAAATAGAACACTTTATTGAAATTTTGAAAATACTTCATCGAATCACACACTGAATGGTAACTAAATCTGTTATGTTTGATGGAAACACACTTTTTTTGGTTCCATTATTTTATGCTGCAGTTTCCACAGCTGCAGTGTATTGAAAACAAATGCAAAGAGTATTCCCAGAGACCAAATATGTAGAAGATNAATTCAATGTAACACTGACAATTAAAAAATATATGATTAAATTTGTTTTAAACTTGGGAAAGACTGAATGGTAAAATATTCTCTGATATATAAGCAACACATGACAAATTTTTTTTTTAGAGGTGACAGTCAGTGATTGCTTTCACATATAGTGAGTGCAATGACCTATTTTTAGACAGTAATAAAAGGTGATGTTAGCTCAGATATACTGGCAATCTGGCAAGGGCATTTTTAACTCTAGTTGCTTTTACTTCATACCACGGGAAGTTCATTAGGAGGATGATACAGTTATATAATCATAATGTAGACAATCTTTTTGTTAATTTCCTGGACACTAGGAATTTAATTCTATGAGAATTATCTACTGCGATTTATAACACATGGTACCATAAAAGCTAAAGCAGGTTTTGAAGCCAGCTATAGAATTTGTTCTAAAAAGAACATTCTGTGAAGCAGTAATGCAAAGCAACTACAATTACAAAACAGAAATATTGATCAGTTTGCCTTATAGCCTTGACTCTTTTTACAAAGAAACCAAAATTGTTCAAAGAATTACTTTTTATTCAAATCGTAATTAAAATATGTTCATTCGACTGCTCTGTGCTTTATGAGCAGCAGTAGTAGAATAGAAGTATAAATGAGCTATAGAGTAAAAAAAGTCTTTTTCAACAAAGGACGAGGCACAGTGATGAATGAAACTCAATCCATAGAAATGGAAAACATATAATCTTTTGAGGAAATCTTCTCCTTGTTTTTATAAGTTAACTTTCTTCTGTTCCAGAAATACTACACTGAAAATCTTGCATTAAAACTGTGCACAACAATTTGCACCAATAATACATTATTTTTTTCCTTAAGTCTGCAACTCTTGGAAGTGTGCCTGACATATCTTACATCGTAAATAAGTACTATTAGAATTACCTCAATGAATCTTCTCCTCGGTTACCAACAGTTACCGGGATGAAAAGCAGAGAAACCTGATTATCATTACCTCTTCCCCTTTTCCACCTCCAAAGAAGCATACAACTTGCATTTCACAACTAATTGAGAAAAAATTAATCACAACTACCTTTTTCACAAAATCGACCAGTGAAGTGTAGTGGGCAGTCACACCGAAACGAGGTGGCCCCAGTAGGCAGAGAGAGAGGATGACAAGTCCCTCCATTATGGCACAGTCCTTCCTGGCATACAGATGGCAATTCAGAGGAAATCTGAGAGGGCACAACAGGTTCAGGCAACTGAGGCACATCAGAAGAAACCACAGGGAATGCTGTTGAGAGATGTGTGGGCACAGGAATTCTGAAAGGAGAGACAATGTATCAAAACAAATCAAATAATGAGACCTAATTTTGCTACTACACTTAAGCTACAACTAATAACTCTACTGGGTTTTTTTCAGACTATAGTCAAGAAATTCAGACTGGAAATTCAGACTATAGTCAAGAAAATGTGAGTACATGAGGAACTCCCAAATTAAGTCCCCATCCTGAAATCTGGCAAAACCATAGTGAAGGTATTTTTTCCTGTGAGGGAGCAAGAAATAACCTCCATGCATATGGCACTGCTTGTACATGCTCCCATAATTCATTTTTGGTGGATATCAACAATGGATTGATAAATAAATACAGCCTTCACCTGTTTTTCAACTCTGCTTATTACTGCTTTTTGTCTCTTCCAGAGAGCCAAACTTGTGACTCACTAAAACCAAACAAATGTAAGGCTACCAATTTAACAAACAGAACAACTTATTGTGCATCACACAAATTACTATGAGGGCAAAGCAAAAGTAATCAAAAGTAGCAAGAAGATTCATGACTACTTAGTAAGGGTTTTGAGTTTAGAAAATATTCTCACTGCATTTTATGTAAGAGATAGCTGTTCTTCTTTGATTTTCTGAAGTTCAAGAGGTTCATATTTTTTTCCAGAAAGCAACTTCTAATTCCGAATTCTAATTTGGCAACAGTAATCTAGTAAAATATCTTACTATTTATATCTCCTTCATAACTTAAAACTGGGTTAATATTTCTCTTATGTCTCAATACTCTGCCAAAAAAAAATGATCAGAGGGCTGGAGCATCTCTCCTGTGAAGACAGGTTGAGAGAGTTAGGGTTGTTCAGTCTGGAGAAGAGAAGGCTCTGGTGTCCCTGCCCATGGCAGTAGGGTTGGAACTAGATAATCTTTAAGATCCCTTCCAAACCAAACCTATGATTCTATAAAAGGGAGATAAGGTTGAACTGAAATGTCACTAACATTTTGGGCAAAAAAGAGCACAGAAATTAAATGCCTAATACAAAGGTTTATAGGCACCACAGCTAGTGAAAGACAGGACTTTTGGCAATGTGTTAAACATCAGCAGTCAAATTCTTACATATTTTGGTGAAAATGGTGTCATAAATCTGCTTTACAAAAATAAAAATTAAAAAATAAATCATATACTGGCCCCTGCTGTGCCCTACCCTTTCTGCTTTTCACCTGCTCTTGTATCTGCTAAAAATTCTGCTTCACCATATTTTTGAGTTTGTAGTATGTCTTAAAAAGAAGCATTTGAAAGTGATGAGGTACCAATAGAATGCAACTGCAGAAGCAAGGTGGATGGGGACACAGCAGTGTGACGGGACATCTTCAATGGGACATTGTATTCACCACATCAGGCATCTGTCTTATTAAGTGTAGCTTCCAACTTTTTTACATTCTTCATTTATTCATGACAACATGAAAACCAATTTTAATAATTTACTCTTTTGGAAGCCATATTTTAGAAAGTACTAACAAATTTAATGAGATTCTGAAAAAAAAAACCACCCACCATAACATATCCTAGGTAAGTATGTTTTCTCTGTCACTATTAAAAACTCACTTCTCTGATTTTTCAATACGGCAAAAAGGCATATATGCCAAGAGGCAAGTAGGAAGGAAAAGAAGCTAGGCAGAGGAATGAGAGAAATAATTCAGGGCAAAGTAAATATCTAAGGAGACCTAGAGAAAGGCACAGTAACTGAAAAAGGAGTGGATGTTGGGAAACAGTGAAAGGGACACAGGGTTTATGTGACAGTAAAGAGAAGATATGCAGAGCCATAATGGTAAGGAAAACACCAGAATGGGATAGTAAAATAGGTACCCAGATTGCATCCAAAACTTAAGATAGCCAAAACACACACACTGTGGTGCTTAGCAATGAAGATTTCAAGGTAGTTAAAAGTCATCTACTTTATATGAGAGAAGAGCATCCAAAAAAGATGGCAGTCAGCAAGAAGGATGAAAATAAATCCCTAAAATATTTTTAAGGCTAAGGACTTGCAAATAAAAAACTTAGGAAAATAAGTGTCTTCCTTTTTTTTTTCCATTTACCTGAATAGAATAAGAACGTTTCTATTTATATAAATACAATTAAAACAAAGAAATTGCTGCCAGGAGAAAAACAATATTTTTCTCCTGGGGGAAATAACTGACGTGATCTTCATGTAGGCTATTCCATTTAGAGCAGCATTAAGAGTGTACTAACGTGTGTGTTATATTCTACTAGGCTAGCACAGCAAATCAAAAATGCTTAGTCACCTGCCTCTATTAGAACAATTGATTAAAAATAATTAAACAAAAATATTCATTTTCTCCCCAAGCATAACCTAAATGATGTATAAAATCTGAATTAATAGTAAGTTTACATAAAGATTCAGCCATTTACAGGAGAAATTTATTGGGACCAATTAGTGGTATTTGGGGTTGATTTTTTTGTTACTCCTGAAAAAAAAATCAACAAAAACTACATGAAAGTTGGGGAATAAACAGGGCATAAACTAAGCTTTCACTACTAGCTATCAGAGAGACCATTTTTCTAATGACAGATAATCCTATACATGACCAGTGCAAAATTTACTCCTCTGAACCTGGTCACATCTACTGTCAGGACTAAAATGCTGAACAAGAGGTAGAGCTCTCTGACTGGCAGGTCATGCATTCTTGTGTCCACTGGAAGCACTGATTTCCAGCTGTGGAAGTTTCACATCCCCTTTCTGATGGGAAACTACTGTTTTTCTCTAAAGTAGAATCACAGCAGTGTGCTTTAAATGAAATTTTATGAGGGCAAGTAATACAGCCTTGCTTCATTTTTTGGTTCATATCCTAATCCACAGAAAAGAAAAGAAAGGAAAGCTCCTTGGTAGGCTGATTTCTCCCTGGTTCATTTGTTAATTTTTCACAGGATGTCAGTGCTGTTCTGGATGTTTTGCTTCTAGATGGTGCCTGACTGTGTTCGTGCCAGCACTGCTTCCAGGCGCCCTGCAGCTTGCTGCCTTACCACAAAAGCGAGACGAGTTTGCTGGGGCTGGTTAGTGGGGCAAACATCTGCAGCTGCGCTCGCAAGCCATTCAAGCTGCTGCTGTGAATAAGCAATGACCTCAGCTCAATGAATTTTAACTAAAACATTATTTGAATAAAGAGCTGGGAAGTGTTTAAAGTAAAATAGCAATTGAGGTGTTAAAAGTTTTGACAAAGTGTAACAAAAATATATCAAGCAAAACTTGATTCACTGTTACTACACAACAAGGCACAATTTTATGATTGTGTTTTTTTTTTTCTTTTCAATTTCCTAGCCTGTCACTGCCTTTCAGGTCAATAATGCACACAAATATATTCTAACTTGCTCCAAGCAACAACACATTGTTTTTAATGTTAAAATGAACTCAAAAAGTTCAGTTTTAAAGGCCTGCAAGCTTGTGTTTCATAGCTAAGTGCATGTAAGCTTGAAATGCTTGTCTAAACATAGACCTTAGTGCAATTTGAAGTCTTGTTTATTTTATATTATATTGCTTGATGCTCAAGGAGATGTATGATGAACTGAATGGCAGGAATCATCATTTAGAGATCACGCTCTGTGTTGTTAAACCTAAAGCACACATACCCAAACCAACTGTGCTTCTCTCTGCCCTATACTGTCGTCTATTCAATAAGAGCCTGAAACTATTAATGTGTGGAGTTAGAGGCACTGCAGCTTAAAAAGTTAACAAACCATCTTGGATGCCCCAGCTGTGCACTGGCCTGGCAGTAAGGGACTCAGCCTTGATGAGGACTCAGCTGGGTGTTGCTGGTTTAACCCCTGCAGTGGCACCAGTCACCAGGGCCAAGACAGCTGTTCAGCCTGAAGAAGGGACGGCTCTAGGGAATCTTGTCAATTTGTATAAATACTTGAGTGGGGAGGTAAGTGGAAAAGATGGAGCCAGACTCTTCTTGCTGGTGGCCAGTGAAAGGACGTGCAGCAGTGAGGACGTGGCAATGGACACAAACAAAAATGCAAGAAATTCCACCTAAACAGAAGAAAATATTTTTTTTCCCCCCAGAGGGACCTATCTGTATGATAGACTTCAAACTGAGACCTGCAAAGAGAGAAGATTTGTCCCCCAAGTAATTCATTATCAGGCTGACGGCAGCTGTGTCTACAGAAGCACTCTGACATTTCCCAGGAAGCAGGCTGCTGAGACATGCAATGGCACGGGAGTCCCAGTGATATAACATCTCCACAGCCTATATCTTCTGGTACTTACGCACTTAACATTTCATTGCTGGAGTAATGGATTTAGCCTTATCTGATATGAGTGCAATAGGGAGGTTTGTATTTTTAGCTTGTCAATAAAGTAGTTGGTGCTGGAAATCAATTGCTTTTATTTGCAATTTTCTTCGGTGGAAAAGTGTGCATATGCCATTTTTCTTAGGTTGTGACAGAATATTATTTTAAGCAAATGTTTTAGAATTTGGAGCCTAAGGAAAGATTTTTCAAAAGCATTAGAATGAGTGGCAAAATATAATTTCAAACTTTATGAATCTGAAAACAACTGCACTTCATGGAAATTTTGGTTTAAACAGGAATAAAAACCTAGTACCTTGCACGTAATTTGGCAAGAATAAATAAAGCCTTTTACAGGATGTTTATTTCACTGTTCACAAACATGTCAAGCAGAGTACTTTAAATAGCATCTCACTGATTTCAGTGAATCCACAGAGCAGTATATCTGTGCATTTATCATCCTGGAGAAACCATTTACACCATTTGACATGGTAACTGTGAAAACAATTTAAGAGATTACTAGATATGGATTATTCATATTCAGCAGTTTATCTGTGAATCTGATTTCCTCACTAGTCACAGTTTTTGTTTGATTTGGAAGAATCAGGGGTCTGTTTTCCTAATAGAGATGATGTATGCTCAGGCATACCTCTTAAAAAAATTTAGCTCACAATGTATGTTCCAGACTGTGAGTCCATCTTCTCCCTCCTACTAGGCACAACATTTGGTAGCAGAACTCAG